CCCGTGGTGGGCAGAGCACAGATAGCCCATTGTGTAGCTTTGTGCTTAATTACAAACAAACAAACATACACTTTCTTTCCCACGCTTAAAATATTTAGTAAATGAAATCTCGTTTCTTTATCTTCTGTTAACTAATAGCCAGAATTTCCAATCTTAGCGCCAGAAGTCTTTCCTTCTCTCACCAATCTTTCCTTACATAAATTGCTTACAAGCTGAAGTAATGTCAGCTCATTGAAGCTGAAGTAATGTCAGCTGAAGCTAATGTAAGCTGAAGTAATGTCAGGTCATTCTAGACTCCGGCCCGGCATGGCCAGGTGGTTAGAGCGCTCGACTCGCAATGTGCGGGTCGCGGGTTCGAATCCCCGTTACACCAAAAATGCTCGCCCTTTCAGCCGTGGAGGCGTTATAATGTGACGGTCAATCCCACTATTCGTTGGTACAAGAGTAGCCCAAGAGTTGGCGGTGGGTGGTGATGACTAGCTGCCTTCCCTCTAGTCTTACACTGCTAAATTAGGGACGGCTAGCGCAGATAGCCCTCGTGTAGCTTTGCGCGAAATTTATAACAAACAAACAAGTAATGTTTTTACTCCACGACAGCCTTTATTTGTTCCTCATATTTGACCGGACATAGACTTTTTAATAACAAAATTTGTTGTTTCTTTCCCCTAATCTAACCTTTTGACAGCCTTTATTTGTTCCTCATATTTGACCGGAAATAGACTTTTTAATAACAAAATTTGTTGTTTCTTTCCCCTAATCTAACCTTTCGACAGAAGTATTGATTTCATCTGTTATTTGCTTAAACTTTAAAGAAATGAAAAAATATAGAAATAACCAAACACCATTTTCGTTTATGCATTTCATTATGACGTTTTGTGAAAAATCTGTACGTGATGGAGAAAAATGGATATCATTTTCGGATTCAGCGTATAAGAATTACTGTTAAAATTTCAAGACAATAAAAACCATCGCAGGCCTGTGTTATCAGTATAGTTTGGTATAACAATTTCCATTTATTTTTTACTAGAGGCCAGTGACGATGAAATGGAAGCGCTTTTTTTTTGTTTGTATCCAATAGATACTTTCTGCTGTAACGTTTTCAATAAATATATTCAATAATCACGATAATTAAACTCCATACCTCATATTCCTGCATCTTTGATGTAATATTATGACGCGATATTATACCCGGTGTTGTAAAATCTTAATTGAGCATCCAAATAATTAAAATTATTGAATTAATTAGATAAGAAACTTTCGTGGCTATAATACTTCTTTCACAATATTGTTACGAGCAAACTTTTTTAAATAATATCTTGACGTTTTTTAATAAAAGTTTGATCACGACAAACTACAGAAAAAATATATTTATTAACAATAATGTTTCGGTGTTGCTAGGAATTAAAACATCCTAATAAAGGAGAAGGCCTGAAACGTTAATATCAATAAATATATGGTCTCTTGAGTCAGCCGTAATGAAAGTATGATCCAATAATAACACGCTTATTATACTTTAATTAACGTTAAGAGATATAAAATAAATACTTTGGCGTATTTTCTGGAAGTTCGACCTTGTTCAGGTTACAACGCATTCTATATGTACTTCATATAAGCCGAAACATAAAATTATCGAGTAGTTACGTCACATTAGTGTCTTTCTCTGTTTGCATATACTGTTCGATTATTTCTGTATACCGTACCGTTTAGACTTCAATATGTTCGGATTATTTCTGTATACCGTACCGTTTAGACTTCAATATGTTCGGTCAAAGATATAACTTTTTTTTTTTAAACTTGACCGACAATCGGTCGTATATTTGTAGCACTGATTGTTTGACAAGCATCATTGGAGTATTACATTATACCAGGCTATTCTAGAAACTGTACTTAACATCTAAGCCTTCTCAGCAAGTGGGAAACGCTCTATGTTTTTCTCTGTGAACATAGTTATTTAATTTGACGTTGTCCAACATAGGCAAGAACGTTCCATATTTCCAGCCTTAGAAACCATTACAAAACCTGGTTGCCAAATCTGGTTGCAAAGCTAGATAGCCTCAAACTCTTTCGATTTGAAAAAATACAGAAGAGTGAGAATAAACAAAATGTCCTCCCAAGCTGTTTCCCAACACCATAACAGGCTCCCTTGGAAAACATTTTGTGTGATCGATGAATGCCTGTGTAACTGAAAACTCCACTGTTCAGTGAGGTATTTTTCCAAAATGAGTTTCCTTGTTTTTGTTGTTTCGCTAAAAGCTACTAAACGGGTTATCTGGGCTCTGTCAAACCGCAGGTATCGAAACTCAATTTTAGTATTATAAGCCTTCAAACTTACTACAGAGCCACCGGGGGCTCCAAAATGATCACACATAGTTAATTTTTTCATAATTCTCTAAATACATACATTATTTCAAAAATACACACATGTAGCTAATGTTTCATAATTCTCTAAATATTAGGTCGTCAAGAAAGTAATGTAGCTTTTTTTTTAGATGAAAAACCCAAACAATTTATATATCAAAACTTTTATTAAATGAAATAGTCTCCATTCTTATCGATGATACTTTTCCATCTTACAATCAGATTGTTAATGCCCTGATTAAAAAAATCACTTGGCTTTGAAGCAAAAAACATTTCGATCTCCTCTTTAACACCTTCCACATTTGCATACGTTTTCCTATTAAGATGGTATTGCAGCGAACGAAAAAGATGGTAATCTGATGGTGTCATATCTGGAGAATATGGTGGGTGGGGGAGAACTTCCCAACCCAATTCCATAATTTTGTGTTTCATCAAACGTGCCACATGTGGACGTGGTTTGTCATGGAGGAGAAGAACACCTTTCCGATTGACGAGTGAAGGGTGTTTCTGATGAAGGGCTTGATTTAAACCTTCCAGTTGCTGACTATAGATCTTTGCATTGACAGTTCGCTGTGGATTGAGGTGTTCGAAATGAATTACTCCTTTGATGTCCCCCCAAATCCAAAACATCTCTTTCTGCGGATGGAGTACAAGTTTTGGGGTCGGAAGTGTTTTTTTTTTTTTTTTTAGAACCGAGCCATTGTTTTTGGCATTTAATATTCGCATAGAGAATCCATTTTTCATCACTGGTGACAAATCTGTTTCAAAATCGTTCACGCGCATTACGCGACAGAAGAAATAAAGCACAGTTCACACG